GCACCACACCTGTGTTTTGCCTTTTTATCGAAACTGTCCAATAAACTCGTTGAACTTTGTAATAACGTTCCACCATTCTGACCCCTAGGAAGTGCGTTTTATAAGGCTTAACTACTTTTCCTAATCTAGTTGAAACTAATTCGAATGGAAGAACATTGTTAGGTTACATTATTGAGTGATTACTACTAGGTATCTTTCAATGTATAGATCACAGCTCTTCATAGTTCTTCCATGATTTCTCTCTCCAGAGGGCAGGCCGGGGAAGGGGGGGAAATCTAAGGCCTGTGAGAATCCCGTGTGATTTGACCTCTGTATCTTGCTGACTGGGCTCTAGCTGCCTGAAATCCTTGACCCATCAAACGGCCAGGCATGCTGACCTGCTCCAAGCCATGTTTCCACACTCAGGTCTGCCTACACACACGAACCCTGCCCCCCGCAGGATGCCCTTCCCCCATTGGTCCCATTTCTTCCTCATGTCTGGACCCCTTGGGCTGCACCTGCCACCTACACTACATTCCATCAGAACCAGAGCTTGACTTTCTTCTTCTGTGAGTCACAACACATGATATGTGCATATGTGGTAGTGCATGACACACTTGCACTCATGTGTGTTTTCCTGGGACCCTTTCCCACTGCTGCTTTCATAGCATCGTCACACCAACATTTGGTACAGATGTGAATAGCAGTACCTCAGAGGTGCAGTGGCCTTCCCACCTCAGCAGAAAGTAGCTGGCAGAGGCAGACCAGGTCCACACAGGATGCCTTCCCCAAGCGCCACCATGCTGAAGCACAGGCTACCACATTTCCTACCTCAGCAATCAGGTTTGCATTGCAGTTGAAAATTGTAAGTGCAGAGTACAATAGAAAAGTTTTTAGGATGTGTGGCTTGCCTTCAAAAAGCTTACAATTTTTAAAATAAACATAGCCAGCCTTTTGCATTATAACATGTGAATTCTGCCCCTCAGGCCATGAGGCCTGGTAGGTGACGGAACAGGCAAGGATGCTTCTGTATGCTCATGCACTGCTCATAGCCAGCCTGCCTGTATTGATCATTTTTATAGCCCTGGAATGGTGTTATAAATATCCAAATGGCCCTTGGCAGAAGAAAAGTTCCCCTGATTGAAAATACGTATGGAGTGAGCTTCAACTTGAAGATCCTTGTAATAGCTTTTTCACTGTGAAAAATTATGTCATCTACTATGTTGACACTAAAATTGGTTCCACATTCTAAAGTCAGTAATTAACCAGGAGTGGAAATACATTTCTGTTCTCTTACATTTCATTGGCTCTATTTGCTTATTGCTGTTCTTGACATTTAAAATAGAAAATTACAGTATTCCAAACACTTCTGTCTTCATCACCATGGAGTTCCTGCAGGAACTAAAATGTTCCCTGAACTTAAGATTCAGTGTTTGATGCCTTTGGTTCCAATGTTCTTTTTTAAATTCTTAATCCTTAAATTTCCCTGAAAGGGAATAGGGGATTTCCCTATATCTTTCTAAAGTAATTGTTTACTGTCTTAATGGAGTTCTTGGGTATCCTTTTAAATTGTGAGATGGTTCATACAGTGCTATTCAAACAAAAACAAAGTGACACATTTTAAGCAAGACCATCTTGGTCAGATACACTGAATGCCTGCTGTAGGACTGGGCTGGGCATTAACTAATGAGTGCTAAGTAAAGCCTAAAGACAAAAGCTGCAAGGATGTGGGTGAGAGCCAAGTTCCCTCCTGGAACCCAGGGCAGGAGTGCCTTCCAAAGGAAGGTTTTGATCTCAAGGTTGGGAAGAGCTAGGGGAAGGCACTGACAGTGCTTAAAGCATTAGAACATATCATAAGTATGTGGAAATAGAATTAACTCCCTCCCTTTATAGCTACTCTAAACTAATGGAACAAAATAAAAATTTAGCAACTCCTCCCTCAAAAAAGGAAGTGGAAAGGTATCAGGATGTCAGTTGTCATCTCCATTGGTGGTAGATTAGATAGCCTTCCAGTGTCAGGCTACCATGTTTGTAGATGAATGGCCTTGGGCTTTAAATTGTTTTTTAACACAAGAAAATAAATCAACCATAGAATAACACGGACTCCTTTCAGTGAGGCGTATTCAGATAAAGCATTTGCAAAATGAAAAGCTTTGCCCTTTTAGCCACCCCAGTGTATAACAGCTGCCTTTTTAAACCACAAACACGATACTTCCAGATGCAGTACTACCACTGCACTGCAGCTAAATGTTAAGTGACAGTGTAAGGTTGCTACACATTTGACCCTCAATGTAACTTTAGAGGTGAAAACACCCAGCCAGGATGCAGATCCTTGTGCCATGCAATCTGACCTTCATTCCATATTTAAGAGGAATCTTCAACAAAACAGAACTGTAATAATTATAGCACCGTGAGAGTGAATTAAAATGCATTTTGTTTTGATCGACTTTCAGACTGATGACTCGTGATTTTAATTTCAATAGTGTTCCCCTGGATTCAGTTACATGGATGCTTTTCCTACAGGATACATCACTGATTAATTCTTTACAATATTAAACAGATTTCATTGGATTCATGGTCTGTGAGTTTAAATAGCTAATGTGGGTAAACATTTTACAAGTGAAGGGTATAACTGCAATGCTCCACACATTTAATCAAATGCCATTTATCTTTTATTGAAATTTAACTCAAAGATAGAATGTATTTTTCCTATGATTGTTTATAGATTGATGTCTTCTAGACTAAGTTTACAGAGAAACCAGGTAGAAAATAAGACTGAAATGTATAGAGTACCTACAACATAGAACACTGCAGTTACTGAACACAAACAGCTCAAAGTTAATGATTATCACCATTTTACAGTTGAAGAAACCAAGGCTCAGAAGGTTAATTAGTTAACATGATTCCTGTCCCACAATCAGTAAATACTGGGGACATAATTTCACATAGACTCTCAGAGCCCTGAGCAACAAAGGCATAGAGCTGCCCCTTCTGTAAGATAAGTTCAGATGCCTAGAAGTTATGTCTTTTCATGAGTAAAATTACCATCATTTCAGTCTCTCTCTTTTCACAGTATTCTAGACATGGTAACCTTAGAGCTTCTCAGACATTAAGCTTATATATAATTGAAATACTTCTGGTATTGTACAAAAAGAAGATGAAGAAGAAGAAGATAGTTGTGCTGGGTATAAAAGGTCATCCAGGTAGCTTCTTTTCTAACAAACTATGGAACAGTGAATACATTGAGCAAGTAACTCAGTCTCTGAAGGTTGACTTAAGTCTTGGGAAATTCTGAAATCCTATAATTCTGAAATAAGGTGCCTCAGCAATCAGTAAGGCTTGGTTGTAATTTTGTGCATAGGATAATCTTAGGTACTGATGAATAGTCACATAATGATATTAAGAAATGTGTTTTTTAATCTTTACATAGCTGATTTTGATTTTGCACTTACTGAAATTATTTAAAATATGTTTAAAAATTATATTTAAGGGCTTTTGTTTCATTTAGCCAGTACAGTACAATTCTTACAACGTGATAAAAAGTGGAGCAATGAGTCCCTCCCATGGAGAAATTTATCTTATAAGTAGTCTGTGACAATTCCTTAAAGGTGGGTTCTTGTTCTTGTTCTTCTTTCTGTTCTCTTTCAAAAGAGTTCACATTCAACAGTCACTTCTTCACATAAAAGAAAGAAAAAAGACAGAAACGTAGACCAACTTGGAGTCTAAGGAGAGGAGCACCCAGCTGTGGAAGCTGCTTAGAGCAGCTTTTGGAAATCTCAAAGGTTCCTCTGTCTTCCAGTGACATAAAGGAGACTTAGAAAAGACTCACCCTAGTATTCATTTTTGGGCTTTGCTCTTGCTTTATGTGGTATTGGGGATAGTATCTAGGGCCTGTACACACTAGGCAAGCCCTCTACCATTGAGCTACATTGAGCTGCATTTTGAGGAAAACTCTAATTACATAGCTCAGTCTGGTCTTGAGATCTGTGTCTTCTGGACTGTCCTAAACTTCTCAATCGTCCTGCATCTGCTTCCCAAGTGTTGTGATTGCAGGCATAAATTACCAAGCCTGGCCTTCAGAGTCTTAAGAAGTATTTTGGAGTATAAAAGTTACCTCTCAGCAAGAAGCATTTGAGGTAAAGTAGGCCAAAGCACCCACAGTCCACTGAATGTATAACAGGTCAGAAATAAATACCTTGTTTTAATAGTAAAAGAATCTGTATAATGTACTGATACCTTCTCCAATTCACTTTTACTTTGTTATTTATTTGGGTATCTAATTTAAAAAGCAGTTATTCACAGCCCTAGTATTCATTACAGCCTTATCAGTCTTTAAATTCTGAAATACTTCTGTGGTATTGAGTAGTCTGTGCTGAGCTACTCTCCCAGAAGCCATGGGGCTCTTCCCCTAGCCTAGCAGCCCTGACATAACACCTTGCACCTTGCTCCCTTCAGTGCTGGCACATTCTGACCCTACCCATTTTTAGAGATATCTTTCATTTTTGACAGAGTTTGAGCTGAGGGCCTACTACTCCTTGCTAGGCAGGTGCCATACTGATGAGCCATGCCTCTAGCCCTAGTATTTGAAATATTACATCTATTTCTATCAACCTCTTTACATACTTACAAAATTATTTTCATGTTTCCATGCCCATTGAACCTGAGTTTACTAGTCTTCACTAATTGCAATGATAATATTTCACAGTAGAACTATCTCTGTTGTGCTCTCTCCAGGCCTCTGTAGCCATTCTTCTTCCCTCACTGCGCTGCACACAGAGCTCTGATGAGGCCAGCAGTTACTCTTTCCTGATTCTGTCTAAGGCAGTCAGTAAACATGTCTCCCATTTTATACATCTTCAAGGGCCACCAACTTGATTAACTGGAGTAATTGCATTGCATTTTTCTGAACATCTCTTGTTAGTAAGCATTGTTTTTAGATGAGAATAAAATGTAGTGCTATAAAATGAGTAACACTTTTTGTCTAACAGTTCTAAAATGTGTGCCCTATATTTACAGTGTAATTCTGGAATTAAGTAGTGAGAAGCTGTAAGCCAGAGCTCTGACAGAGTGGTACGGGGCATTGCCTGTGGTAGCAGCATTTCTCTGTCCAGGTACAGCTGTCAGAGGAGCAGAGAGCCTGTGAGAAGGGAACCAGGAAAAGAAACTGCTAAACTGTGAAGTCAGAAAAAGAACTGGGACCAAGATGTTTGGAGACAAGTCTGGTAAGTTTCTCATCAGCTGACATGCCAGCAATAAGCCGCCGCCTCCTCCAGTTCCTCTCTGGGTGGCCGGGCTGTTGGTTCGCCAAGACGGCAGACTCTTATCTGTGCCAGGTCCCTGACCTCTTGGACCAAAGGCCATTCTTGACTTTCTCCTCTCCCTCAGCTGACCAGGTTTCAACACTGCAGCTGGTCCCATGCCTAGTTTCATGAAGACACACTTGCACTGGGTCACACAGCCCCACCCAGGCCCTGTCACTCTGGGTGGGGGGGAGGGGAGGAGTCTGAGAGAGTAAGAGGCAGGCTGGCCCAAGTCACAGGCACTCAGAAGCTAGGCTACTGGGAGAAGGAAGCCTTTCATGTCTGAGCTCAGACAACTGGTTTGGGACCTTTTAATAAGTGCTTCCTTCTGCATTGGGAAAATAGGAGATAATAATACCCTAGCCCACAACTAGCCATCTGCCAGGGCTATAAGAACTACTTCTCCAGATGGTGTGGGAAGATTGTCCTTAGACTCAGAGCTCTAAGGCAGAGTCCTGAAACCATCCTCCCCAGACACTGTACCATCAACCTCGGGGGAGGGTTCGAGGCCACATCCAGGCTTCAAATCTTTGTCTCGCCATGTACCAGCAGCAACTTAAACTATCAACTTCTCTCTTTTCTCACCTATGAAATGGGATAAGACAATGTAAAGATACTAGGATTGCATGAGTACACGAAGCAGAAGGGATTGGCAGAATGCTCAGGACACACAGTAAGCTTTCAATAATCACATCCTTTTACAAACGGAAAAGAACAGAACCTGACAGAGCACAGATTTACGTTGCACATGTGTTATGAAAGGCGTGTGTAAATCTCATCCCCTCCATTGGCGTTGTACCCACACAGTCTGCTGGAAGTGCATGGTCATCAGTTTTCGCTGCGCCGGCTGCACAGACCATTTCCTCTCCCCAGGACTGCTGACAGTAGGCAGCAGGACAAACAGCTTGAAGAAAAGGAGCCTGGATCCCAGGCTGGCTGTGCTGTCAGCCTTAGCACGCTTCTGGGAAGCTGGCTGGAGGCCTCCAGACCCAAGCTCTCCAAGACCCAGTTGTCAGCACCCCACAAGCAGCTCTGCAGCATCAAGCAAAGGGAAGTCTGCCTCCTCCTGCCCCTGCCTGCCCTGGAAGTGAGTATCTGCTGTGCCAGTTAGGGGAGGGCCCAGAGCTCATGTCTGCTGGGCAGGAAAGGAGCCAAGTATACAGACAAGAGGCTGTCCTTGACGCCGGGTGGCACGCACCACCACACCTGTGTGCTCTGTGCTGCCCAGCTTGCACCACCACACCTGTGTGCACTGCACTGTGCTACTTAGCCCACACAGCTGCAGGCTGACCCAGGGTTTAAAGCTCACAGCGGGAGCCAGGTACCTGTAAACTGTTCTTGCCACTCGGGAGGCTGAGATCTGAGGATCATGGTTTGCAGCTAGTGCAAGCTGACAAACTTCACCAAATACCCACCAAAAAGCCAGAAGAAGAGCTGTGGCTATAGTTGTAGAGTAGTGCTAGCCTTGAGCAAAACAGACAAGGACAGTGCCCAGCCCCTGAGTTGAAGCACCCAGTCCTGGTACCAAGAGGGGAAAAAAAAAAAAAAAAAACACCAGCCCAAGGAGGTGGGGGGAGGAGGGAGCTCCAGGGTGCTTGCCTTTCCTGCCCACTCAGCAAAGCCGTGCTTCCTTCCCATCTCACCAGACATTTGGTCAGCAACAGCAATAAGTCTGCTTTTTTTCTTTCCAGTTCTAGGGCCTTTGCTTTGCTTTGCTTTGCTTTTGCCAGTCCTGGGTCTTGAACTCAGGGCCTGGGCACTGTCTCTGAGCTTCTTTTGCTCAAGGCTACCACTCTACCACTTGAGCCACAGTGCTACCTCTGCCTTTTTCTGTTTAGATAGTACTGAGGAATTGAACCCAGAGCTTCATACATGCTAGGTAAGCACTCTACCACTAAACAACATTTCCAGCTCCTAGGTTTGAACTCAGGGCTTGGGTGCTGTCCATGATCTGTTTTGGTCAAAGATAGTGTTCTATCACTTGAGTCCAGGCTCCACTTCCAGCTTTTGGGGTGGTTACTTGGAGATAAGAGTCTCACAGACCTTCCTGCCTGGGCTGGCTTCGAACTGCAGTCCTCAGATCTTAGCCTCCTGAGTAGCTAGGGTTATAGAAGTGAGCAACAGGAGCCATGCTAACTTTTCTTTTCTCTGTCTTGATTTGTTTTCCTAATCAGACACCATGGATCTTGTTTTGGAGAACTTAAAAATCTGGTAGTAGGATAGGAAAAGACAAAAGTGTAGGTAATACACATACAGATGGCTTCTTTGGGTCTTTTGTCAGATTATATGTGAAGCATGTGATGGCAGACCCCTGGTAGGTAATACACATACAGATGGCTTCTTTGGGTCTTTTGTCAGATTATATGTGAAGCATGTGATGGCAGACCTCTGGTAGGCTCCCTGGCCTCCTGAAGAAGTGTCACCTCTCCCAAGACAAGTCCCCACTCAGCCACACCAGGTCCCCAAGTCTGCCTCCCATTGCTAGACATCTTCCACTACCAGTCCCCAAGGTCATGCTCATGGTCTCCAGAAAGTGTTCACCAATGGAGCCACAACTTTGCCTCAGGGATTTTCAAAGAATACACATGATTTTCAGTGCATTGTTTTAAAATGCAAGTCAGAGCACACAGAGATAAATCAACCTAACTGAAAGGAAAAAGGAAAAACCCAGCACTGGTGTCTCTCGCCTATAATCCTAGCTACTCAGGAAGCTGAGATCTGAGGACTGTAGTTCAAAGCCAGCCCAGGCAAAAAAAGTCCATGAGACTCTGATCTCCAACAAATTACCCAAAAAGAAAGCCAGAAGTGGAGTTGTGGCTTAAGTGGTAGAGCACTAGCCTTAAGGAAAAGAAGCTCAGGGAAAGTGCCCAGGCCCTGAGTTCTAGTCCCAGGACTGGGGGGTAAGAAAAGTAAAAGGAAGTTTTCAAATAAACTGTTTGAGACTCGGAAGTCTGGCTTCACGGGAATTGAGTACCCCATTGTTACACTAACATTGAACGAAACTTACCCTTGCATTGTGTGTTTTCTTCCCTAAATGTGCCACTGTGTCAGTACATCCCTGGACATGATTCAGTCAGCAGTCATTGAGACCCTAACATTGTAAGGGAGTTAGGAAGAATCTTCTTCTGTAGATCTCTTTAATACAATAATTTAATGATTTTAATTATTTTAATACAGCTATACCACAGTTATGAAATAAGTAAAGGTAATAGCATACATGCACACACAAAAAAAAATCGTGGGTGAGCTGAAATTCACTTAGTAACATAGTCTTAAACTCAGGGCAAAGCCTACGAGAGTCACATGGTCTGAACTGGTGGAAAGCAGACAGCCTTTTGTCCCCCAGCCTCCCCTCCCCCAGCCTCCAGTCCAGCCGCTTCCTCTTCCTCTTCTTCCACTCTCCATGTCATTGTGGGGGTTCAAATGCGGTTTCCCATTAGCTCCTAGATCTCTCCAGGCACCGCCTGTGAGTGGTCGTAACTTACTGTAATCATGAAACTTGCTTGTAAAGCATGATAGGACTTTGTGTTTATAAGGGATGCGTATTAGCACCGTAATGTGTGCACTGCCTGAAGGCAGGCTGTGCTAGCATCTTAATTCAGCCCTTTAGAAACAGTCTACATGAGACTGGTCGTTCTTTGCCCTTTATTTGACATTGTGTTGTGTAATCTAAGGTTGTTCTTATAGTACTTACTTGCAATGTCATTCCAATGAGGAAAAAGGGGAGAGTACATGAAGAAGAAGGAAGAAAAAGGGAAAGAAATCAGAAAAGGACAAGTCACCCTTGCAGAGAAATGAACCTAAGAGCAGTTTTGTTTTTCAGGTTCTACATGGGAAGCACTGCTTCTCGCTTGCTCCACATAGGTGTCTCTCAAGCCAGGTGTTTATGTGGCCATGCCCCTTGTCTGTGTCCTAAGGTTCAAGTTGACTCAAAGCAGCTCTACAGAGTCTTAAGTTCTTGTGCCCTGTTCAGAGTCATTTATAAGACTTTCATTGTTGTCTTCTGAATGTGTCAACCCTTGAAAAGTATTAGAAAATGTTCAAAAGAGTTCTCCAATCTGTCACCTGCCTTTGTTGGAATGAACTTACTAGGCCACTCTGCAAAACTTCTTTAAAAAAATTACTATTTTCTCTCAAGAGTGAAACTGACACCTTAGCTCTACAGAGAAAATCCCATGTTAATTAAACCTCACAGTTTGCTCTATCTGGGCCTGACCTGCACAGCAATGCACAGCTCCTATCAGCCAGCAGATCCAGCCAACAAGCTCGGGCACCACTGCCCAGGCAACAAACCTTGGACGATTTCAGCCTTCAAGGGGTGCAGTCCCCACATTGTAAAAGAGAGAATTTGCAAAGCTGTAGTCTTCCTATCTTGATTTAAACTGCACCTGTGATAAAGAGGAGATGCATGGCTTCTGGGCGCACAGATGACTTCCATGTGATGCTGATCCCTGACAGGACTAAACAGTGAGGGCTACAGGATCCAGGAGAGCTGAGGCTTCCCGGCACCCAGGCAGCTGCTGCTGCTGCTGTCTCCACATCTGTCTGTTTTCCTCCTCAGCCCCAGCACTGAGGGACCCATCTCTTTCCAGCTACTCCAAAGGTTTTTCCACTAGGCCTCTCCCCGGGCCTGCCTCTGGTGGATACCGCTTCCCAGCTTCTCCCCACCTGCTGCCTCCAAAAACACACACAAATTAGTGAAAGGACAGAGGAGTTTCAGTTACACAAAAGGTCAAGGAGTTGTAAAAATGGCCAGCATTGGGAAGATTACAAGGTTGCTAAAGAATCTCGGAACTCTCTCCACGGTGGTTCCCAGAGCCTGACCTCATTTACATTTCAGTAGAGACCTGGGTCAACCACTTAGAATAGTTCCAGAACATTCTTATTAATCTTCTGCGTAGTTGGAGGTTCCTGGGCTATACCTATCTCTTGTGGCGTCCAGGCCCCATACCTGACCTTGAAACAGAGAGACGCTCTTCCTCCTGCCCTCAAAAGCCTCCCCCTCGGGCGCAGGCTTCTCGTTCTGCCCTGCCTGCCACCTGGCCCCTTGGGGAGCGCCTCCTGTGGAGGCCTTGGGCTCCATCCTCATGCCCCACCCTGGAGACTTCTCCCAGCTCCCATTCAGGCGTCTTACAGGCACCTCCTGGGCTCACGCCTGCCTACTCTGGTGTAGAGAGGGCAGGTCCCTCGCATGCTCACTGGGCTTAAGTTTACCTGTCAAGAAAATAAGGCATGGAAACAGAAGGCTGTGCATCTGCGGTGTGACTCCAGCAGGCCGCCTGAGCCTAGCCACGTCAGTGACAAAGTCGGAATAGCAATAATACCACATCATGGGGGCACAGTGACTGAAATGGGCTCCGCTGGGAGTGCAGCTCAGGAGCAGGACACTTAATTACCATGCCCAAGGCCCTAGGTTATACCCGGCGCTGAAAAAAATCAGATAATACTTACAAAGCTCATCACATATGCCTTGTATATACTGATTGCTTGGAATTGTTTTTTGCGTTTTGTCAGTCATGGGGCTTGAACTCTGGACCTGGGCACTGTCCCTCAGCTCTTCAGCTCAAGGCTAGTGCTCTACCACTTAAGCCACAGTGCCACTTTCCGGTTTTCTGGTGGTTCATTGGAGATGAGTCTCAAGGACTTTCTTTGCCAGGGCTGGCTTTGAACCACAATCCTCAGATCTCAGCCTCCTGAGTAGCTAGGATGACAGGCATGAGCCACCGATGCCCAGTGGCTTTTGTATATTTTAATTCTTTCTAACATCCAGTAACTTCTCTCAGACTGTATCCTCAGAGATGCTCCAGAAACCTGAGCAACTGACAAAGTGGAGGACCAAGAGTTGTCCTGAGGAAACACTTGAGCGCTTTCAGGAGCATTGAACAGAAGCGACTTGTCACCCCAGACAAGAGCAGGGAAAGTGGTGCAGGCAGAGCTGTTGGAGCTGCTGACATCGCTCAGTGGGAGAAAACCAGAAGGAAATCTCCAGCTGAATGGAAGAGCCAACTTGTCCAGAAGAGGGGAGTAACAATGGGTATGCACAGAGCTGGATGAAGGCCCCCTCTCGCTCTGCAGCGGGGAGATGTACTTTCTCCCCCATGTTTCCCTCCCCCTCTCCCCTGTGACACTGCATTCTGTGGGAAATCTTCACGGTGATTTTGGTGGCTTAAAGTCATCCACAGCGGCCTGAGCGACTGGTTCGCGCATATCAGCCACTTGACCCAAGGCTGGCTCTTCAATTCAGTCCCTGCTTCAAGCTTGCTGACGTGGTCACCCAGACAGGATCCTCCATTTTGGGTGTGATTGTTGGCTAGGGGTGAGGGCACTTTAGGGATCTTGGAATGAAAGTCTTAGCAAACGTGGTGAGAGGTGCCAAGGCAGGAAGCCGCCACCGAGAATAGCACAGTGAACCTGGAGAAAAATGTTCTTGTGACACCCTTTGAACCCTGTATTCATTAATGTTCCATCCCCTTTTGCCAATTACCTCGGTCCATAAATCTGCCTCGAGTTTAAGCTGATTAGGGCTCGTTTTCACAGCACTTAGAGTGCAAGTTCCCATTTACCGGCTTTGTTCAAAGCCCCTGCTCTGCGTTTGCCTCTGACTCAAGCACCTCGCCCCTCACCCCACAAGTGCCCCGAGATTGTCCTGACAGTGCCATCATGACATCACACAAAACAGCAGAAATTCCTTCAATACGCACAGCAGTGGCCACGTGGCTTCCTCAGAGGGAGAGAGTTTGAGAACACTCCATACCGTTTCCACTGCTGACTTCATTCTCGGAGCAGAGCCCGGCTGCGGATGCCTGAGTGACAGGCAAAGCCCAGCAGAACCCCACACCTGCCACCATTGCCCAGAACTCCTACTAAGACTGCTTACACTGACTGCCGAGTTTAAGGGACAAAGAAAGTTTCACAAATTTTGGCAAATGCCCTCCACCATATGTTACCTTGTAATAAAATTTAGAATTTGACCAACAGTAGTTCTACAAGTTGTTGTTTTTAACTTGAAGCTACATCGTTGCAATCTCAGAGAATTGTAAACAAGGAAATAACTATATAAAGTATCTTTAACAACCAATTAGACAGATTTCTTCAATCTGATCAAATTCAGTACATCCCCCCCTCAATTGTTAATGGGATTTTAGAAAATCCATAACTCACTTTTTGTCTCAAATACTGGTATACCAGGTTTTCATTGTTAGCTTTCTTTTGAATATTTTCTCTCTATAAGGAAATTCTTTTTCAAGATGGAGAACTTCCAAAAATCTGCCTAGCTCACCATCACCCTTTTCTGTCATCCTGGTGGGCAGCAGCGGGGCCATTAGACACCCAGGTTTTCCTTTCTCATATCCACTTCCAGACTTTGAGATTACCATGCACTGAAGCCACTCTGCAGGAAAACAAAGACTTCTAACCCATGTCATCTCTTGTACTTTATCTTTCTTCTCTTCTCTCTTACTCTATATACCCCAGCTCTTCCAAAATCGAGTGCCAGGAGTCCCAATTCCACAGAGTCTTTAAGAACAGAAGCCGTGAAAAGCTCACTCGTGCTGCCGCAGAAGTTGTTTGTGTGCAGGCTGTTGGTTGAGAATTACAAGTTCTTTGCAAAGAAGGGTGAAGGTGAGATAGTTGCGCACACCTGAATGTCTTTAGTGCCACTGAATTGTACACAGCCAAAATAGTGGGGTTCTTTTTCACAGTAAAAACAAATGTAACTCCCTGTCCTGTATACTTTATAACTAAACACAGATGTATCACTTATATGCAAGAAGAATAAAGAAGTTGATCTGGTACAGGGGTAAAGCAAGGTCGTTCCGGAAGAAAGTGTGGGATCGAACAGTTTGCATGCCTCCTTTGCCAAGTAGCTTTGGGAAAGAGCTCTCTCTGTCCATTTAAGCACAGAGAAAAAGCCAGGCACCAGGGTGGTGTAGGCAGGAGCAAGATGAATGACTGTGGGTGTTCAGTTTCCACCTTTCATGCTTTGTCCCCCTTCTTGATTCACATGCAGATTACCCAGACCAACTCCTCACTAAACAGTCTTTTTTCACTCTAGTTTGGAAAGTAGTGGAGCATCTAAATATTTATGAGGCATTTTCCCCAGATTTCTGGTGCTCTTGTTGGATGTTGAAGGATGACTTTAATAAATGTGTGTCTGCACACACCACCCGAAGTAGGCAAAGGGGCCACAAGTGGCCGGCACCACAGTTCCCATGAAGAGAAAGAAAAAGCAGGGGACAGGGGCGCAATAGCTGTTGCCAGGGGAAAAACAAATGGTACATCTCAATACAAAAGAAAACACAAAGTTCCATCTAGCTTTCTGGAGCTGAAAATGTAACCCTGTTGCCAGTCAGTAGTCATGTGCATTAAGACTTTGTCACTGGTAAAGTCGGGGAAATGGCCCTTCTGGCTCTTCCCAGTGATGGAGAAAAATGCAGTACAGAGTTCCATATTAGAAGTCATTTGCTAGAAAACAATGGGCTAGTCAGCTTTCTTTGAAGCCATCTTTCATACATGCTCATTCATTACAGATTGCTTGTTTATGGAGCCCCCAAAGAATGTGTTAAATTTTTATTGCACGGCACATATTCAGTATTTTTGTCAGTTCCCCCAGCCCTGCCCGCCCCCCCCCCACCCAGCACCTGGTCATTTAGATACCATTTCCATTATGTTAGCTAAATTCCACTTCGAAGTGAATTCACCCTAATGTGTTCACTTCAAATTATGTCTAGTTATGGCTTAGATTATAAATCATCTTTAATTATAGGTAATCTTTTATGATAGCCTAATAAAAGAATAATATCTTGGTACAGTAGAACTGAAATGGAGACATTTTGATGACCTTAATATTATATTGCCAGAAACAGTCACCTTTCCAAGCTCTGGTTATCTCCCTAGCTTCTCCTTTCTTTCCCTTCTTCAGTGAACAGCAGAGGTCCCAGAACTGACCAAGTGCCTGGCCTGTCAATACCACTCACCCCCCACCCCGCCCATCCCCCACACACAGCAAGACAGCTTATTAAAAAGTGTAATGTGCTGGGTGCTGGTGGCTCATGCCTTTAATCAGGAGGCTGAGATCTGAGGATCTGGGTTCAAAGCCAGCCCAGGCAGGAATGTCCATGAGATTCTTATCTCCAACCAACAACCAGAAAACCGGAAGTGACTCAAGTGGTAGAGCATTAGCCTTAAGCTAAAGAGCTAAGGGACCACGCCCAGGCCCTGAGTTCAAGTCCCACGACCAACAAAAACAAAAAGTATAATGTTCCTTTTTATAGATTACCTCTTCCTTTTGTATGTTAATATACAGAAGGTCAATGTTTTGTTACTTCTAGAAATCTGTCTTGCCCTCTGTATATCACCATTATAATAACAATTTAAAGTTGTTTTTAAAAATCTGTCTGAATTCAAGAAATGTTTAGCCTGACTCTTTTCATTTTTTCATCTTCATAAAACTACAGGAAGTCCTTCCCACCACAACCCCTGCCATGGCCCCAGCAGAGGCAGAGCAGAAGACAGCTCCTACTTCCCTGTGACACAGAGAAGGCTTCCTTCATGTTTGTGTGACAAACTGAAAATCAGTTACTGGTGGTTAATATTCCTTTCTTGGTAGAAGATTATGCAGAACAGTCTCCTGTTTTCCAGCATTTCATTTCCCGTTACCTTAAAGGTCTGATAGTTGAAATGCAAATAATAACAGAGCCTAGTCTATTTGTATACATATTCGTGCATAAATGTGTATTCACAAACATAACGATTGCCTTTTGATGGCCTATGACTAAAACGCAGCGTACGTCCACACGTCCAGCTGCCAGGGGCTCTGTGGAAGCAGCAGCAGGCGCCCAGCCTGAAGGAGCCACCTGCAGCCCCGCCCTGCAGTCAGGGCCCGGCCCAGATGGGGCCTGGCCTTGTGTGGGGGAGCAGGCCTCATGGGCTGAAGTGGAAGGCCACGTACAACCTGAATGAAGCAGGGCGAGGACCCCCAAAGAAACCTTCACCAAGCCGGGCACCAGTGGCTCATGCCTGTCATCCTAGCTACTCAGGAGGCTGAGATCTGAGAATCGCGGTTCAAAGCCAACCCCGGGCAGGAAAGTCCATGAGACTCTACACTCCAGTAAACCACTAGAAAACTGGAAGTGGTGCTGTGGCTCAAGCGGTAAAGCGCTCGCTTTGAGCTGAAGAGTGCAGGGACAGCGCCCAAGCCCAGAGTTCAAGCCCCACGACCGACCAAAAAAAAAGAAAGAAACCTTTACCAAAACGATGCTTTAAGTTAGTCTTCCTTGTAAGCCTTTAGCAAACGTGTATTATTTTCTGGGGGGATGGCATTATCAGTTGTTAACCACTAACTGAAATGGTCAGGCTGAACCACCTGAGCAGAAAGGGGAAAGGAAGAATTTTACAGCCCAGAATTCATAAAAAGAGTAAAAGGTTAGGCCCTGGCAGCAATGTCCTGTTGCAGAACATACTAGAATATTCTAGGACAGGGTACCCTGGTAGACAAATACAGTGGGTGGGAAGAAGAGCACATGAGAGAAGTTGGGGGTGGGGAGAAGAGGAGGGAGCCGAGGACAAGCTCTGCTGAGCAGGGACGTTTGTCCAGGAAAATGAAGCACACACGAGATGCTTTTAATTCTATTATGTACTTAGCAAGGAGAAGAACAAGCAGCTTCATACGCCAATGATAATCCTGTAAGGGACAGGTTTGGGGAGGAGTGTGATGGTAGATACCCAGAGTCAGGATGATGCACAGCTTCACGCTATAAATTCACTCATGGGAATTTACTTTGCATAAATTTTCATGACTGAGCAAAGGTCGAATAATATTTCAAGTGGAAGAAAAAGAAAAACATTGTAGTAGCACTTATTTTTTTGCTTTGCTGGAATTTTGGTCATAATTATGAACTGAATCATAAGAAATTACCAATAAAAAGAAATCAACAATAAAATTCGTTATGAGAAAGGTGTGTCTGCGGTTTCCGAGCTCCTGTGTGTGTATTACGTGAGACAGTCTCTCCTTGAATGGCACGGAAGCCTCCAGTGCCACAGGAAAGTGGAGGACCACAAATGTCCAGAAAAGCCGAGTGTAAATACCCTGCAGACAGCTGACATCGGAACAAACAGTGTGAAGTTCTAGTGAGGTAAATGCACATGCTTTGAAAGTTCTAATACATTCGAATATAAGCTTATCAGTGATTTCCAACTTGCTTTCTAAAATAGGACCAAGGTACTTAATACTTTTGCTCTACCGTTGAGACCTTCTCTCTATGGAACCTCCCCCTTTCATGTAACAGCAGGAGTTTCATGCAAACACACATGCGGGGAGCGTGGTGTCTTCTCAAACCACAGCCTGTCCATATTCGTATTAAAACTGCAAGAATGGGGTACAAACACCTACCAAGGTGGCTTAACCCAGAACTGAGACGTCGCACACCGTCTCTCTTCTCATCAAGGGGTTTATTTCATGCCATGGTTTTTGTTCTCGAAATATTTTTAAACGTTGGGTCCCTGAAACCGTATCCCAACCTGTTGCACACTGTTTACACATCATTCGCAAACACTGCCGGGAGGACTCAGCCCCAGCTGCTTCCGCGGCGCTGCTAGGAGGGGCCACCCTAAAACAGTTATAAGGCTCAGCTGTGAAACAGAAGCCTTATAAATGGACACTGAATTCCAAGCGTCCCTGGCTACCGGCCAAGTTAGCAACTACCCTGCCCCACGTCCTAACGCTTCACGTGGGAAAGGCCCTGTGCAGTTCATCTTGGCCAGCGGCTGGCAGAGACCCCTGCACTTGTTTCCTTTCCTGAGCTCTACCATCCCAGCCCTGTCACTTTTGACTGCTTGTAATGTTGGATTTTCTCTAGCCACAACAAAAATGCAACTTGAAAACCAGGGATTCCATCTAGACATCACCCACTTCACCCCTGTACA